TAAATATATATTATTTAAATATACTCATTTTTTTTATTCGCTAAGTTTTTTAGTATTGTAAATGACTGAGTCATTCACAAAAATAAAATTTAGTAGACTTCTTGTGCCGAACATTTTTTTGAGAAAGATTAATTGATAAGAGTTTGGGTTTGACTGGTTGACTAGAAAGAGCTCTACATAGACTAACTTGGCCGTTAGTGTTACCAGGGGAAAGAAACCATATTAAAAGAGAGCAGTGTTGTCAATTCAAAGAGAATTGGCATGCCCCTAAAAAGTAATAACAATCTGGCACCTTTATTTTTCATGGTGCCATCTAAGCCTCGGACCTCCTAGACATTTTAGGCTTAATCTTATTAATCTTGGGAATAAGCAAATATGCTCTGTTTCCCTTCCCTTGAATACACCTCGCTTTGATTGACCAGTCCGAAAAACCAATGAAATATTGCATCTAGTAAAACAAGACCGATTTGCAGATTGTCAGGAGATAGCGGCGGCACTAAACATCGACCGGGGAACATCATTTAGAAAGAGCCGGCTACGTAAAGTCACTTAATGGTTGGACACTCTCTGAATTAACATAAAAAATATAATTAATCGAGTTGCTATCAGTGAAACGAAATGGAATCAATTTTTAAGTGAATCAGAACGGGGCACTAAAAATGGATTGAATATAAAATAATCCAATGAAAGCGATTTTAGGGTTTGGCTTGATGTCAGACAAACGTATTTTGAGTTTTTGGTGGAATTGAAGTTATCTATTTCGAATTGCTCTATCCTAGTATAATGTTTAATTCAATACTCTACTGTTCACAAGTCGTTCTAGCATGATAATGTGAGGTTGCATATGACCTTTAATGGCTCGAATTAAACTGACGGAGTTTAGCTGGGAATTTTTAAAGCATCAAGTATATAGCCTGGACCTTACTCAATCTCACTACCACTTGTTTTGGTCTCTTCGAAAAATGCTGTTAATGGTAAAAAAGGCTTACGGAAAGGAAGGTGACTAAGTTTTTCAACATTTAACCACAGAAGTTCTACATTGACGGAATTATAACGATAACCAAAAAAATGGCAAGGAGCCAGTTTTGACACTAGTGATTACTTTACTTAATAGAAACTATTATATTTAATAGAGAGTCTTCGAATAGTAATGAATTGGAAGAACAAAAATTTTTATTTATTTTGTTTTTCATTTTAATTTTTTTTTTGTTGATTAACGAAATATTAATAAAGAAAGGTTTTGTTCCAAAATGTACCAAAAAACTGCGAATGCTGTTTGTGATATAAACATGGAAGTTTAAACATCTATAGGGTCAGGTAAAAATTTTAATTATTCGCAAATACAATTTTTATTGTAATTGATTACTGCTCAAGCATTTCTGTTTAAGAAATAAATATTCTTGGACACATTTTACTTTAAAAATTAATAAAAAAATATTTTTTTAAAAACATGTTCACAGAATATACTGTAATTGATTCTCTTAATATCCCGAAGAGTTCTACTCAATTACAACACTTTCACTTCCTATTAATTTTCACAATGTTGCACTTAACAATCAACGTCCTTATAAAGTCACACATGCATCAGACACATCCTTAAGCATTTAAGGTGATATCCTAAAACACACAAATTTTGTAAGCTTCTGAGTGTATGTGGTATGTATGTAGTGCAAACAGGGGGATTATTACTGTTACAGTGTATGCAAATGTATAATTTTCCTGGTTGGGGATCGTAAACATTCCAAAAGCTACGGCTTTCGCCTTCACCTAGGAGTTTCAACGTTGAGTTCTATAAAAAGTTTTCTGGTGGTAAGGGAAGCAACGGGTTATTTACCGCGTTGTAATAAAGTTTATCTCAGGCTATATAAACACTTTGCTATGCTTTTGTAAACACAAGGGAGTAACAATGTACATACACACCTGTCACCATATGGTTTGGAAATCTACCCGTACCCACAACCAGAAGCTGCCAAAGGAAGGAAGAAAAGTGAACTACTAAAACATTTGGATTAGCGGTTTAATTAAAATAAGTGTTTGCCTTTTGCTAGTAATGCGACGCATCTCTAACGTAATTAAAAGCTCTTCAAAGAGAATTTCTTTTACTCAAAATTTGTGAATGAAAATTAGCTTGGGGAAATATTTGCAATAGATACAATATACAAGTAATAGAAGCATGTTTTGAGTAGTGCGCATTACTTAAGTTAAAATTGTAGAGGACAAAAAAAAACGAAGATGAATAAGGATTCTGACATTTCGCCGGAGGGCAATGACTTAAATTTGATTTCGTTTTTAATGCTCGAGTTACAAATAAGTTAAATGCTTTTATGCGATGTTTGTATGAGATTTGCATTTAAGTATCTGAAAATAGTTGAAGTTGACAAAATCGAGAATTAAAGAAATTTGTTTAGACTCGTATTCTATTTAATTTCTTTGCCTCTACAATATATATTTAACACTTCGCTGATGTTATTGTTGTTATATTTAATACATGTTACGAGCAAACTCTTTCTTTCAATCAAAGTTGGTCTGCAAATGCTTTTAACTTCTCAATACTCTAGCATCGAAGAACTATATTAATCTTATGTGGGTACCGGGACATAAGGGCAACGAAATGGCAGACTCTCTAGCAAAGAAGAGTACATGCACTCCTTTCAGAGCTCCTTTCCAGAGTCCTTCTGCGAGATAGCAAATAGCTTCACAAATAAATTAATATGTGAATGGAAGAAACAAAGTCTGGAGCGCCTAAACAGGCATGTGTCAGTCAAGTAGATTTATTGATACTGAACACATTAAATTTGATGTTATACTTAACCCTAACCGAAATGATATTAAACTCTAGACTACATGAAGAATATAGTTGTGAGAGAAAGTAATTCCTGTCGACCCTGTCATGAGAAGAAAGAAATATCAGAACATGTTCTATGCAACTGCTCATCGGCGGCAAGACGTAGACTTGATTACCTTG